TAATGAGTAATTATTTTGTGGAGAATGAAATTTTAAGTACTTTATGCATATTTCATTTTTATTATTCTTTAAAACAAAACAGATGTAGAGACTTAAGACACTTCATAGGACTCTGTAGCTATTAAAGGAGCTGGAATTTGAAGCCACACTTTTTGAATATGGCTTTCAACTTCTTAGCTAATCCTCAGAACTTCTACTATAAGCTAATGTGGCATGTCACTATTTTGTGGATGATAAAATTCTGTATATGCACTCAATCACTGCTTGTTGAATGAATATTTAAGACATACACAAATAACTAAGTGAGCTTATTAACAGACCAATTTTAGTGGCATATCACATGATTGATATTTTCTCGATAAAAATGTGATATTTTTAAAAAATTTCCCATGCTGCATGACATTTTCAGAATATCTTGAAAAATATTAATTAATATACTTAATTTTATCATTCAGTTGTGATGGGGAAAAAAGAGCTGAGTTGCATGGAGCCAGGCAATCTTTTATTTACAGTATTGGTAGCAACTTTATTTTTAATAATAACGCCAAATGTCAGTAGGATTTATCTTTTTTAAGTTAAAAATAGAAATAAAACACAGCTTAATAGAAGTATATATAGACAAGCTCATAACGTGTAATGATTTATTATTTTATTTCCTATCTAGACATGATATATGGGCTTCCCTGGTGGCTCAGATGCTAAAGAATCCATCTATGATGAGGGAGACCTGGGTTCGATCCGTGGGATGGGAATATCCCCTGGACGAGGGCATGGCAACCCACTCCTGGCAACCCACTCCAGTATTCTTGCCTGGAGAATTCCCAGGGACAAAGGATCCTGGCGGCCTGCAGTCCATGGGGTCATAAATGAGTAGGACTTGACTGAGCGACTAAACAACAACAACAACATTGTTAGTTAATCAATAATGATAATGACCAAGAGAGCTGAAATTACCAGATTTCATTTGTCTTCTCAATGGAGATGCCTGATACTGTCTTTCTGGGCCCTTTTCTGAGACTTAAGAGACTAAAAAGATAACCTCAGCTTTCTTATCGTATGTGTGTCTATGCAGGTATACATAAGTGCATATGCATGATTTTGGACCTTCTTAATCCCAGGGGGAGGCGGAAAGGACACTGTAACTGTTTAGAAGATTTGTGTTATCATTCATAGTTCCTTAGCTAAAAAAACTTTTTCCAAGTATAAAAGAAGTTCCTTTTATACTTTATGTATATGCTATGTGCTATGCTTAGTTGCTCAGCCATGTCCAACTCTTTGTGACCCCATGGACTATAGCCCGCCAGGCTCCTCTGTCCACGGGGATTCTCCAGGCAAGAATACTGGAGTGGGTTGCTATGCCCTTCTCCAGGGGATCTTCCCAACCCAGGGATCGAACCAAGCACTCCCATATTGCATGCAGATTCTTTACTGTCTGAGCCACCAATGAATGAGTAAAAAAACAGACTAAATAAAATAGTTTTTAAAAAATTATACAATTAAAGGAAACAAAGTTCTGATGAAATGTTCACTTACATCTAAATCCCAGTGTTAAGAAGTAGAGACCTCTAGTCATTCTCAAGGCAATTAAAATTGTTATATATTGAATAGTTTTAAGATTGTATAGAGGGCTTCTCCGGTGGCTCAGTGGTGAAGAATCTGCCTGCAATGCAGGAGACCCAGGTTGGGTCCCTGGGTCAGAAAGATCCCTTGGAGGAGGGCATAGCAACCCACTCCAGTACTCTTGCCTGGAGAATCCCATGGACAGAGGAGCCTGGAGAGCTACAGTCCATATGGTCACAAAGAGTTGGACATGACTGAAGCAACTTAGCAGGCACGCCTGCAAGACTGTATAGAAGCAAACATAATAAAATATCAAATGACATTAAAATTGTTTTAGACTTCTGCCTCTGGCCTAGACTGGATTTAACTTTTTGGCTAAAAATTTTAAAAAATCAACAAAATGTATGAAACAGTGCTTTTTAAAAGACACTGGACACTGGGTAATTAAAATCAGTCATCTCTGAGAAACTAGAAACAAATGAGAACAAATGAGGTGAGCCCTACAGTTACCCCAGCTTACTCTATGAATAGAGTTCCAAGCTATGACAAAGGACAAGGGCAGAAAACCATGGGGTCTTCTTTAGATGAGGAGATGGAGCTGGGTGTCAAAAGAAACCAAAGTGGCTAGAGTCACAGAGCAGAGCATCAGAGAGGGACAGATATACAGAGAATAAACATCAGAGATCTGCAGAGAGCACCCTTCCAGTTTCCAGTTAAATCCTAACCATTTCCCATATGAAAGTGAAAGTGAAAGTGAAAGTCACTTAGTTGTGTCCAACTCTTTGCGACCCCATGGACTGTATAGTCCATGGAATTCTCTAAGCAGGAATACTTCAGTGGGTAGACTTTCCCTTCTCCAGGGGATCTTTCCAAACCAGGGATTGAATCCAGGTCTCCTGCATTGCAGGCAGATTCTTTACCAGCTGAGGCACAAGGGAAGCCCAAGAACACTGGTGAAGGTAGCCTATCCCTTCTCCAGGAGATCTTCTGGACCCAGGAATCAAACTGGTGTCTCCTGCATCGCAGGTGGATTCTTTACCAATTGAGCTACCAGGGAAGCCCTACAACAAGAAACTACCAATGTCAAGGGAAAGAACTATACATAATAATTAAAGCAAACAATCACCAGAGCTCACCTATGGCTGGGAGAGTGCCAGTTCCTGCCAGACACAGTGGAAAACATTATACAAGAACATCAGAGCGAGAATTCAGATGGGTTTTGCCTCAGTAGTGGGGAAAATTTAGCCCTAGGTTGTTCTGCTCAAAACTCAAAGTATACGAGTAATACACTCCAAAGATCAAAGTATTTCCAAGCAAACATAACTATGTTTCAGTACAAAGGTCAACAATATTTATCTGCACAAATGTATCAAGCACTCAACAAGTTAAAATTCACATCTGGTATCCAATCAAAAATTACCAGTCATCCAAAGAAGCAGGAAAATAACACTCATAGAAAGGAGATAAAATAAATGGAATTGACCCAAAATAGACAGAGATGATAGTACTGGTAGACAAGAAACATTATAACTGTTATTGTAACTGTATTCCATATTTTCCAGAAGGTAAAGATTGAATGTTGAGGTCTGTTAAGATATTAACATGGAAATTGTTAAAATTCTCAAATCACACTTCAGCAATGTATTGAATCACACAAGACAACAATGTCTGAGGTTAAAATTATACACTAGATGAGATAAACCACAGCCTAGATAAGCTAAAATAATAGATTGGTCCATTTGACAATAGGAATTATTTAAAATGAATTACAGAGAAAATAAGACTGAAAATAAAAAGAGCAGAACATCAGTGAGTGGCCTAATATATGTTATCAGAGTCCCTGGAAAGGGCAAGGAGCAGAAAAATATTATTTTTAAGTAACACCTTTAAAATTTCTAAATTTGATTGAAACTATGAACACACAGATCCAAGAAGCTTAACAGACCACACAGATAAGAAACATGAAGAAAACTATACCCAGGAATATCATAAACCAATTGCCCAATTCCCAAGAACACTCCCTAATAAACCTTCTGTATCTATTGCTGAGTGAGATGACAAGCTGAAATACAATATCCATATCAAAACAACAACTCTCTGTGGAGTAGAAGGTGGGTATATATATACCTACAATACACCTCTACATTGTTTCATTTTTTATAATGAATATATATTATTTTTATAACAGAACAGATTAATATGTATAACTACCTTGTGATGGACATCTTTGAAAATAGCAAGAGGTTTATAAATCTCCCCAAGAATACCTTATATTTCTTTCTTTAAGTCAGAGACCTGGTGATGCTACATTGGCTCAAAACTCACTTTAGTGCTATTAAAAATATATTTTCTGTATGATGTCAGATTAGAAATCGATGAATTTTCTCTATCTGTAATGGTAATGCTGATGAGTATAAAGATTTGATTGATATACACATAATTACACAAAATTGACAATATTCATTTTCTACATTTACATAGCTTATACATATATAGGGGTTTATAAATGGTTACTTTCTTAATATCAGAAGGCATCTTTTCTATGCAAAAAATATTTGAAAATGAAGAATTGTTAAGTTGAAAATGATATTACTTTTATGAAACCAGCATTTTGAAATGCCTAGACTATTTAATGTATTACCCTTTTCCTTGCTTTCATCTGTCTTAATCAATATTTTCTGGCATTCAAAAACTGGCCACAGTTCAAATCTCCTTGACTGAAAATTCCTACCTGAACAATTTGAACTAAAAAATATTGCAAAAGTACTTAAGATTTGGTGTAGTGAACCCAGTATTTCTTATACTAAAGCCATATACTTTATAACCTAAATTATAACCTCCACAATCCACTTTATCTGCATAATCAAAAGACACAGCCAGTTGAAATTAAACTGTACGATGTTATAATCCATATGTTGCATTTCCATTAACAAAACCCATAAAACAGTCAATAAGCACTGCCAATTAACTCTGTATTGTTTTGGCCTCTGGCCTATCTCAGAAGGCATTCTGTCAATAGAATATATAGAAATATTGCTACAACACCACAGACTGTCTTTAGGGAAACAGAAATGTAATTTTATAATGATGAATATTTCTAGTGACTACATTATTGCTAAGTATACCACAAGTTCTCCTCCTGGACAAAATCCAACATACGGCAAAAACACCCTGTCCTAAAGCCACAGGACACCCTGCTGTAAGATGCTTCTCTGAATCCAAGATTCAATTACACTTTGCAGTTCATCAGATAAACCGGTTATGTCTAGACTCTCATCCTGACACAAAACGTTCTGAAATGATCATCATGACAAGTTCTAGCATGCGCGGTGCTGACAATTTCCATCATCCTTCACAACCTGAACTTAAAGAAGTTAAGCAGTTGTGATATTGTGGTGGAGATAAAAACAGTGTGAAAAAAAGAGATTTCATAAACTTACCTTAAGATACCATTTATATTTGGCATGTTCCCAGTTCTCAGGAATTTGTGTCTTTTTAAGAAAGTGTTCAGCTTCTGTTAGCCATTGATTAAATATCTTCATATCATAATGAAACCGCCGCCATTTTTCAACAGATCTGTCAAATTGCCTAGAAATAAAAAATAGGGATCAAGAAAAATAAATGGATTATATGGACACAGAATATATGTTACTACACTAGTAAAGATATTATTTTGATAGTTTCTCACGTTTCTATATGTCAGTTTCAGTTAACATAAATAATACTGAATTAAAATATTTGATAAAAGGCTGCCATGTCCCTTTAAAATGAATACACTTTGTGACTGAGACAAAAATAGAGACAATTATTATGGAATATTAGTGTTTTCTTCCCTATGAGAATACTTAATTTTTAATAAAACTTCAGAAATTTAAAAGTACATTAATATCTAATAAATTATTTTGAAACTAGATACTAAATTTCAAAAGATTTTTTGGATCAAAAATTAGCTCATAAAGTCTGTCAATTTCAGTCATATCTTGAACTAAAAGTGTCTGCTCATTAAGATCTTCAAGCATACAGGATGACAGCTGTAACCTCTACATTGGCTTAGATGTAAGAAATCCACCAGTTAACTGGTATACTAGTCTTTCTTTCTCCTTCTAGTTCCACTGTATCCATTAGCATTTTAAATTGTAATGCTGAAGGAATTTTGTGAAAGGTAATGTATCAACATCTCACAAGAAAAGAATATTGAGAAGGAAATATTTGGTCATTTCTGGTCACAGAAGAGACTGAACCAGAAATTATATGAGTCAAGGCTTTGTTTACTCTGAGAGACTTGCACATAAAAATCACATAGGGCATTATAAAATAAAAAATAGCAATAAAACACTGATTTTGGGTCCCCAATCTAGACCAATTACACCAGTATCTTTGGAGGTGGGATCCTGACATTGGTATTTTTAAAAGCATCCAGGTGATTCTAATGTACTGTCAAGTTGAAAAATACTATACAGTGCAAGTTTTAAAGTCTTATGGGGCTCATGATCTACTGGGTCTGCCAGGGCCTGTCCAAACGGGCATTTGCCAGCATGAAACAAAAGCCATCCTGAAAGTTCCTGCCTAATGAGTGACCTCACAGTACAGCTGTCTGTACAGTTCTCAGATCTATTCTTAAGATGCAACGGATTAGTTTTGAATATCTTGAGGGTCTTCTCAGATCTCTACCTCCCCTTAGGAAATTTAAGTAATTTTAGAATCCAAATAATGTCACAATTCCCTATTGTTTTACTAGGAAAGGAATGGAATTCACATTATAAACCAAGCACTGGGGTCTGTGGATTTACATATCCCATTCCATTAACTCTTGCAACACCCTCTGCAACATAACAATTATTACTCCCATTTTTCACTGGAGAAAGGTGAGATGCTGAGTAAGTTACCAAAAGGTAAATAGATATTAAATGGCAGACCTGGAATTCTAACTCGGATCTCTCTGGTTCCAGTGGTGTCTTTTAGCACCTTACATTAAATTTTCTGGGATTTCCTTTTTTTCAAGATGAATTTTCACCAAATTAAACAATTCAAAGTGATAGTTGTAAGGCTTTTATTTTCTATTTGTCTTATTTTCTTCCTATATTTAATTATATATCTACATGTGCTCTATCATGCATTCTATCAGGTATTACATTTAATGATTAACTGTATTTTCACCTTAAAAATATCTAAAACAGTATTTTGGTAGCATCAAAAGGCAGTTAATGATAGCCAAAAGAGATAGTCTCTATCACTAGCTTATAAAGAATGGAGATGCAGACATAGAGAACAGACTTATGGACAAGGCAGGCGGGGAGGAAGGAGAGAGTGGGACAAATGGAGAACATATACACTATCATATGTAAAAGAGACAGCCAATGGGAATTCGCTATATGACTCAGGGAACTTAAACCTGGGCTCTGTAACAACTTAGGGGGGTGGGAAAGGGTGGGAGGTGGCAGGGAAGTTCAAGAGGGAGGGGACATATGTACACCTATGGCTGATTCCTGTTGATGGATGGCAGAAACTGATGCAATATTATAAAGCAATCATCCTTCCAGTAAAAATAAATTTATCGAATAATTACATCTTTAATAAATAATGGTATTTTATAGTTGATCAAATGTTTTCTATCCATCAGCCACAAAATGATCTTGGAAATGTTTGCATGGTTAATAATACTTTTGTTTTCATATATTTTCAGTGCTAATACCCAAAACATGACTTCAGGATTCATCTGAAGAATGTATTCCCTATAAAAAAGAATTGTGCATTGCGTACGTCTTAACGGGAACTTGAATCACTGGAGTCAGAGAGCTGTTAAATGAGAATCTAAAATACAGTGAGTCATAGTTGGCATTGCATCATCTTGGTGAGGCTGTAGTTGATTTTAATTTTCATTATATATATATATATATATTTTAATATTGTTAAGTTTTCCTGCAATGCACGCTTCAAACTTTGAATATTCAGAAAAATACAATAAGTAAAATTTATTTTAAATTGAAAGTACAGGTGATTTATAATATCATATCAGTTTCAGGTATACAATAGTGATTCAATAGTTTTGTAGACTATTCTCCATTTATTTATTTATTTATTTATTTCCATTTATTTTTATTAGTTGGAGGCTAATTACTTTACTACATTGCAGTGGTTTTTGTCATACATTGAAATGAATTAGCCATGGATTTACATGTATTCCCCATCCCGGTCCCCCCTCCCACCTCCCTCTCCACCCCATCCCTCTGGGTCTTCCCAGTGCACCAGGCCCGAGCACTTGTCTCATGCATCCAACCTGGGCTGGTGATCTGTTTCACCCTAGATATACATGTTTCGATGCTGTTCTCTTGAAACATCCCACCCTCACCTTCTCCCACAGAATCCACAAGTCTGTTCTATACATCTGTTTTGCATATAGGGTTATCGTTACCATCTTTCTAAATTCCATATATATGTGTTATTATGCTGTAATGGTCTTTATCTTTCTGGCTTACTTCGCTCTGTATAATGGGCTCCAGTTGCATCCATCTCATTAGAACTGATTACCACTTCTAGGCATACACACTGAGGTGACCAGACCTGAAAGAGACACGTGCACCCCAATGTTCATCACAGCACTGTTTATAATAGCCAGGACATGGAAGCAACCTAGATGCCCATCAGCAGACGAATGGATGAGGAAGCTGTGGTACATATACATCATGGAATATTACTCAGCCATTAAAAAGAATTCATTTTGAATCAGTTCTAATGAGACTATTCTCCATTTAAAGTTATGGCTATCTTTTAAATAATGGCTGTATTCCCTATGCTGTACACTCTATCCTTGTTGTTTATTTATGTTACACATAGTAGTTTATGTCTCAATGCCATACCCTTATTTTGTCCCTCCCCCTTGGTATCCCCACTGGTAACCACTAGTATATTCTTTGAATCTGTAATTCTGTTTCTATTTTTTTAATATACATTCTTTGCTTTTAAGTTTTTAGATTCCACATATAAGAGACAACACAGAGTGCTAACATAGATAACATCTTTCTCTGTGTGACTTACTTCACTAAGCATAATACTTTTTAAAAGGCAATCTCACATGCTAACAACTGCCATCTCCATCTTTATACACTATAGTTTGAGAACCAGAGCGAGGCTAACCAGACCACAGAGGAGTTGTCATTTGGTCATTTTCTACCTCTGTAACAGTCATCAGTCTGCTTCTTACTTTGCTTTTTTCTATTACCCAACCACCAGATTTACCCTCTTGCTAATGCTTTTATTTACTGGAAGGTGATTATTTCTTCAACATCCGGGCTATAAATACTCTTCCTTCTAGGCTGCTGCAGATGTGTCCCTCCACCACTCACTGCACTGGCAGTGACCATCTTCCAGAAGATTCCACAAAGTCTCCTCCCACCCAACCCCTCTGCCTTTTCACAGTTTATCTATCATCTAGTTTCTCCAAGAGAAGAAAACCATCAGGGCCCACACAGTTGATCATGGTACCTCTTAAGGCTGCAAGACAAAAGTTGGAGATACGGACATAAGGGAAACACTCAGGCTTCTCTACTTACATTTGTGTTTCAGGTCCACAAAAGTGGGGCAGGATGAAGTTGCCAGCCACCAAGGACTCTCTGCAGTCTCCCCTTCCCCCCATGCCCTACTGTCTCAGGATTTCGTGACTGTGTACATTATTCCAGTATTCCTGAAATGCCCTCTTTCCCTTTACTCCAGTTTCACTCAACTCCTGCAAGCTGAATCTTTGCATACTTAAAGACTTCACATGAACCATTAGGTTGGCCACAAGGGTATTCGGGTTTTTCCTGAACATCGTTCAGAAATATCCAAATGAACTTTTTGGCCACAGCAATACTTATACTGTCACTTTGTAAATATCTGAATATAGAGCATTCAATAGTCTGCAACTGCTAAAAATTTGAAAACAGTAAAGTTGATTTAATTTTATTATTAAAATTAATGTTAAAGTTAGTAACTCTATTCAAACAAAATATTAAAGAATAAAAGCATGCACTTTACATGTGATGACATTTAATGTGAGTAATAATATTTTAAACTCCGTTTCAAGCATCACATAAAAATTTTAAGCATACTTTCTAGCATTTTAACATGTGTTGTTAACAGCCAAGTGTAAATCTATTCTTGAATTTACTGTTCAAAATTTCATTTTTTATCATGCCTACTTATAAAATTAAACTCTTTCCCATTAAGGAACATCCTGAATGAACAGATATAAATTTTGCTAGTTTTACAATGCTACATTTATAAATTTAATCTCTAGTCACTCACTATACTCTCTAAATTTCTCTCATTCCATTAACTGAACATCCATGACTGAAGGAAAATGCAGCGACAACAGGAAACACATAAAGATATTACAAATAGTATTCAAGGAAATAAGTGTAAGTTTTACTCTCTGTATTATTACTAGAGGGGGGAAAAAAGTTGTTGCATTTTTTCTTCCTGACAGCAAGAGGAAATGTAGACCTGCCTAAATAAAGGACAAAAAATGTCAGTATAAACATATGGATAATAAATCAAGTGATTTTTAAAATTTTGCAAATATTAAAATTCTCATTCACTATGCAAGCGGT